AAAAAAAAGATATGAGCAGGCCTGTGCTTTGCATAGCGACTTATGTATTTGTCTTCTCTGTGGCTTGTTAAGTGGAAAACAAGAAAATGTTAGTTATTGCTTATATTAACAAAAGTAATAGTTGCTTTTCTTGATATACCAAGGTAATTGTACCCTGTGAAAGGGCTTTAAATCTTAGTATGTATTATATATCCTCTAAAAGGATTCTAAAATACAGCTCAGGTTTTGTAGATTTGTAAAAAAAACACTTTATTTTCTGTCTCGAAACATTCTCTGTAGTGTTTAGCACTCCTGGACTTCTGGTCACTTTGTATTATTTTTTATACAAGTTTGGGGAGTTTTTTGGCACTTTTGTGTAATTAAGAATACAAAAAGATAGAAAGAGCTGATGCACTGAAACCTGTCGGTTAAAATGGTCTTTGTAGGTTCTCACAGATTAACAATCATGTTTTCTGCCATGAGCTGCAGATTGAAATCAGTCAGAGTTCACCGCTAACTAGTTTCTAGGTAAAAGTTGTTGATTGCAAAAAGTGTAGATTTGTTTTTTTTTTTTTCTTTTTTTTTCTTTTCTTTTTTTTTTTAAAGTGCAGGAAGCTGCTGTGTGGGTGTCAGTGATTGGGTTATAAGTAAAATTCAATGCTCTAGTGCTTTGATCGTGGGACCTACTGCATTTGCCCCACCCTTACCCACTTCCTTTAAGTGCAGCACCATGCATTCCACATTGCGGTTATAACAGGGCTGCTAACCAGTGATATTAGTGGAAGAACCTTCACCACTAACCAGTGTGTAACCTTCAACCTCTTCTAAATTTTTATTGCTTGCTTATAGTGGTTTTGACCTTTTTAACCTTGAAAGATTTTAGAAGGCCTAAAATGCAAGAAGAAAATGTGCTTTTTAATTTTAGTATGCTTTCTTCTTGCAATGGTTGCTTAATAAAGACTTTTTTAATCACTAGATTTTTTTAAATCTCTGTAAATTTTGTAATTTATATTAAATCTATTGTATATTAAGGAATGATAGGGGTGAGGGGAATTGCATTAATAATGGACTTTCTCATGATAATGTTCTTTCCCAGATTTCTGTTGTCATTTCGAATGCTAGTACATTAATGAATAACAGAAAAATACCATCTTATTTGGAATACTTACTTCATCCATTGTAAAAAGGAA